AAAGACAACATTACAACGCGCAAAGAAAAAGTTTTATTGAGATTATTCGTGTTTCAAACATTCGACACTATGTTGAACATGGACAATAAGAATAAGTATTTTTGGCACATTGCTGTTTCTTTTTTATGTACTGTTTTTTGTGTAGCGTATTTTTGTCGAAATAAAAGAGCATAATATACTAAAATTATTGGATTGTCCGGAAAGTTTGTGCCGATGTTGAAGGAAAATTAAAATGCAGAAAATTTAAATTTTAATATATATTTATTAAATTATATAGATTAGTCGGCACGAACTTTCCGGACAATCCAACACTTGTTTTTATTCTTCATATTCAAAATGTCATATTCAAAACTTGACATTATCAAACTTTTTTTAAATATTAAAACATCATTTTTCTCAAAATATTTATTAAATATAAATTATTTATTATGCAAATAAATTTATTGACATCATTGTAGAAATTATTTCGTATTAATATCGTCATCTTCCAAAAATAAATGAAATTATTGGCCAATTCAATATTAATGTTATCTTTATTTGTGTTATTTGAGAAATCATTTTAATCAGAAAATACTTTAAAATATATAATATTCCAATTTTTCAAGATTAAAATTAAAATTAAAATTAGCATAATAGCGGCAATTAAAATTAGCATACATTTTAATGCATTAATAAATTTACATTGTATCATAAACAATTTTTATATATGCAAGTTCATTAAATGTAGATACATTGTAAAAAGTAAATGGATTTTTTGAGACATACAAATTAAAATATTAAAATAATAAAACAAAAAAAATAAACACAAAAACATTAATTTTAATATTTTAGCATATCTCAGAAAGTTCACTATATGTCTTTAAGTTAAAATTAACATATTTTTTGCAGTGTATGAAAGAGTATTGAGCTAAAATACATATACATATACATAACATATAGCTAAAATCTATTATTTCTCGGAACGGGGTCTTATCTGTGAAACAAATTCCTTGAATATATATATATTTAAATAATCTACTTTAATAAAATGTACGCGCATGTTACGTAAAACAAATATATATATATATATTTGTTTTATAATATATTTTACAAATATATATATATATATATATATATAGCGCCAATCATACTTTCTCATAATTTTCCTCTCTTTCCTCGAGAGACTTGAATCATCTGCTGTAATCTACTCTAACCACTCTCCTCTCTATCCCCCGGCTGCACACCTGCGAACAACTCAGTGTTCTATGTTTCGAGATACAAGGAGAAATTACCAAGTTTCTCCACCCACATTCCTACGATTATCCTCCCACAATTCGTAATCGCGCAACGTTTCCCGCCGAGGGTAGATGATAGAAGTCACGCGGGCGGACGCAATGCGATGGAGGTATGCGCGTGTAGAGTGCGATTCCTATCCTGTTATCCTTCGTCGTCTAGGTGGTCGACGTCGGGACTCGGGACGGATGTGGGGTGGAAGCCGGGAACTCACGGGGATCGTCGTAGAGGAGTGCATTCTTTAGAGGCGCACAATGTTGGGTGCGTTGCGCGAACTAGGTGGTTGCTCACAGGCGTTACGCTTATTCATACCGGAAGTCATGGTACACGGTATACGGGGGTCGTGTGCGCGAGCCGTGGAACCCGCATCAAGGTGACATTTCTTCTTCCTTTCGTCTATCCTTCCGTGACGCTTTTGAACCCCTCGAAGCGGCACGTGCTACTCTCGAGGAACAAGGAGTTTCCGTTCAAGAAATACCTGCTTGAAGTAATCTCTTCCTTTTGGACTGTTCTCGGCATGCGTTGGATTATTATCATTGCTTTCCATCGAGTCTTAGGAAAGAGAAATGTGTGCGAATTGAAACTCTATATTAATAAAAATAACGCAAAAATCCATCATATTGAACCTAATAAGTATATCATATTAAAGAATAACTAATGTCTATTTCTACTAATGTAATTTAATCTTAATTTCAAATTAACGAATTCTTGATTTTTAGTTTTAAGAATTAGAAAAAGATGAAGAGTAAAAGATTAAAGTTAATTTATATTGGTAGAAACGAACATAAGTAGTTATTAGATGATAAAATAATTAGGTCCAAGATGATCGAGGCTAATAGAAAAACGCAGTAGAAAAATAGCTAATGGGAAGACGCGGTTATCGGCAAAAAAAATGCGCTATTTTTATTAATTTAAAGTTTTAATGCGGACATATAAAATCGGAGAAAACAAAATCGATTTCATTGATTTGCCGCGCTTTAATACGAAAATTTTTCGAGTTCAGGGAGAAAAGCGGAGAAAACCTGTTGCTTCTCTCCATGTCAAAAGGAGATTGTTCGAATTTTTTATGTGAAAGACAATTTGAAGAGAAAAACGTTGCCTGTAAAAAATCGATTGGCTATTAATGATTATGTTCAGCAGGAAAAAAACTTTTTTGCAAATATTGTAAGATTTTTCAATATGATTAGTTTATACATTTAGAGGGAATGAGAAACTAAGGAAAGCAAAGCCACTTTTTCTGCTGAACGCAGTTAATATTATTAAGTTTAAATAATCAAGAAAAATTATTTTTAAAATTAAATAAATAAATTTCTAATAATATCTAAAATTTAAATAATTATAATATTAAATTGGACCGATGAGAATAAATCTAATTAAGTAAGAGAAATCTTATTTTCGGTTAAAGCAGATTTTAGATTAAATATTTCGATATGGGTTAAATTTATGAATTCTTAGATATTAGATTAAATATTTGAATTTATATATTAAGTACATATCCAATTCTGCAAATCACACGCCGAAATCTTTTTCAGTTTTTGAAACGCAATTATGAATTAAAATTTAAACTAAATGAATTCTAAAATATTTGTTACATGTTTGAATAACAAATATTTGCTTGTCGGTTCGTAACCGCTGTACTTAGTTAAATCAAGTCTCTCTAAATCTAAATCAACGGATAATCATTGATATCAGTACCACTGGTAATCAGTAAATGAAATGTGAGATCCCTAACTTAATCTTTATGGTGTGATCTAATTAATCTTGTTTTAGTGCTAAAATTCAATGAATACGATATTGGAAAATTGAAAATTAACAAATCAAATATCAGTATTTTAGTTATAAAATACTCAAACATTCTTTCTTTTTTAATTGAAATTAAGTTCACTGATTAGTGCAAAGTACGCCACTTGATAATTAGTGGCTATCTATTGATTCAAATTTAGAGAATAATAATATCCTTTTTGAAACAGCAATTTTTTTCTCATTTTTTTTTCTCATTACTACAAAAGAAAACGGTTTCACCAATATTCGGGTTAATCGTTGTAGAAATGATGATACCCGCATAGTTCAACCCGATAAAGATTAAACCCACATTTTCTTGTGCTTGCAGACAACCGCCGGAAGTGGAATCAGCGATCAAACCGAGCGAGGACGTTTGCTCGGAAGGTTCCGAGGTGGATTGGTCGTGGCTCGAAGAAGTGGAGTATTTGCGAGCCGCGGAGTCGCTCGCGACCACCGGTGAACGTGAACGTAGTGAACAGGGTGGGAGGGTGAGCGCCGTCCCCACCAACGGAAGTGCGGGGCGCAGGCGCGCCTCCGAGCATCGCGAAACGGCGATGGGCCGCAGTGTCGCGATGTCCGTCACCGCGACGGCAAAGTCCCTAGCAGGTGGTGGCTCGCGGTGGCCATCCTCCAGTGGCGCGCTTCTCCTCGATCGTCAAAACAACAATAACAACAATCGTCGCAGTAGTGGAAGGCACCGTCGGTATCGCAACGGTAATAATAACAATAATGACGGCGACGACGACGATGACGAGGCCGCGACCGCGCGTTGCAACGCTACGAACGAGGCGGTCGATCGCGAAAATCGCGACGGCGCGACAACGACGGTGACCGTCGCGGCCGTCGCCGCGACTGCGAACTCGTGGATGCGCGCATCCATGCGGCGTCTGCGTCATCTACGGTTACCCGAGGGTACGCAACGCGCCAACGTCGGCGGTAACGAGCCGGCCAATCGGCGCGCCGCGATCGTCTCGGCGCCGAATTCGTTGCCGGATATCGCCCTGATCGCGCCGGAGATCCTCGCCGCGCAGACCAATGGTAGCAGCGCTTCTGGCGCGCTGCTCCGGCCTTCGAGCGCGCCCGCGAGAAACGTGATCGCCGGCGTCGCGACGCCCCGCCGAACCGGCCGGCAGTTCGCCGGTGGTAGAGCGCAAGGGACGCGAAATCGCGAGGTGTCCTCGAGGCAAGGCAGCCTCGGCTCCACGACCACGGCCAGCGATACTACCGTGTCCGGCAACACGACGTGCTCCAGCTCTTTCGGCGGTGTTTCCAGCAGCGCGCCTTCCAGCACGGCGACCAGCCCGCAGCGCGCCGCTCTCAGAAGGTCAGTGGAGTTTTTTTCATTTTTTTATTTTGTAATTGCGTCTTCAATGAGATTTTAAGGTTAAAGTAAAACTAGCTTTGAGAATCTTAAGTAAGAAATTGCTCAATCACAGTCGAATGTGAGGAGAATGACGGCTATATAATTGATCAATTTCTTACAATTGACTTAACGCTTAAAAGTTTTACAATTTTAGGAAGAAATAAAGCGACAATAATAAAACGAGAAAAATATCAGGGTGCTCCTCCAGATTCGAACCGAAAGGTTTAATCTTCTTCGTAATGATAAACTTTTCTTGCCGCTGATAACTTTTCTGTTGTGCCTATTTTCTCTAAATTTCTTACATCTTATTGTAGACGCCGCTTATGTAGGTGAGAAAACTTGCGGATCTTTTCTGATACAGATAGATCGATTCTGTACAGGTATAAATAAATATATCATGCTACTTCATGCGTGAAATTCTTCGGACTTAAACAGAAAACTTGCACAATTATTTCTACTTTTACAGAAAAGTGAAATGCAAAACGGTAACAGCATGATAAACAACTCGTAACACGTATGACATTGCGTTTCTTACGTGATTGAGAAAGCTTGCAGATCTTTTCGCGCGGTAGAGATACAGATAGATTGTGCTACTCCATGCGTAAAATTCTCAGACTTATGTATACAAAGTGCTTTCCATTTAGTCACACAAGTATCGTTTTGTTTTCCTTACTGGAGTGCAAAGAAAAATAGAATGACGTTTGTGTCGACTTGTGTCACTAAATGGAAGGCACCCACAGAAAAATCTTGAAAGAACCGTTTCTACCTAGAAAAGCGAGATGCAAAACTATAACGGCGTACATGGTAAACAACGCATGATACGTACTTGTGTTTCTTACGTAATTAAAAAAATTTGCAAATCTTTTCGATAAACAGATGCTTGTGTTACTCCATGCGTAAAATTCTTTAGATTTACGCAAAAAGTTTGCAAGATCATTTTCATCTTTAAAGAAACACGAGATACAAAACTTATGTAACGTCATGGTAAACAAAATATCATATATATATATA